ATATCAATAAGTCCTTTGCCGTACTGTGCTGTACTGATAGGACATACAGGAGATGGTATATAATAATAACATTACAACATAGACAAATACATAAAAATAGGAAACGGGACCCCTACGCAAATAAGCTTACAATGTAGAAGGGAGTGCTTGGGCTCTAGAAAGAGTGCTTGGGCTACGCCTAGTAATAAATACTATGTACTTGACTTTTATTTGTACTCTTTTTAAGTAGCTATCTATCTTACATCTTGATACAGATTTGAAGTTTACAGATTTATGATGGAGTATAATGAAATATAAGCAAGCAAGTTGAGGTGGGCCAAGAGAAATCAAAAAGCCCTCTGGTGAACCAGTGCAAAAGCTGTTTCAGATGGACAGAGAGACAAACATTAGCACATTTTCAGTTTTTTTAATTTGAGTTCATTACGTGATTTATCTTCTACTACCTTCAACACCTCTCTACTCCTTCTAAAACCAAGACTAAACTAATTATCGGAGAAAGCATTAGGCCCTTTTCATATGGGCATCCTAGACAGATCACTTGCTGAGTCGGATCAGAACAGAGGCAGATGTCACATATGTGACATCCATGTCCATTCTGATTTTACCTTCATATTGAAATGGAGGAACAATGGAGCCATGCAATCACTATGGGTAGCCAGATGTAAACGGATGTGCATTTGCCCACATCTACCCACAATCCATATAGGTTAGTAAAAGTGTGGACCTGGACACAAACTTTTTTTGTTCTGTCTGATGGACCTGAACAGACTCAGAAGTGTGTGAATATAGGCAGATGTACTTCCTCTTACATTCAGCCACCCATAGAAGTCCATGCAGTCCATTTTTGATCCATGTAATCACCTGAACTGTGTGTTAGGGGAAATCCTCCAATAGGAGCACCTGCTCTCTGACACAACTGTCTAAGAACACAACTGTCTCTTTTCCCATAGACTCTCTGAGACAAGCAGTGAGGGTAAATCTTACCAATGGGACAGTAGGAAAAAAACCTTATAAACCTTAGATATTTTAACTTTTCTCTTTCCAAAACTAAAGTTATGGTTACAGATAAACTTCATGTGGAAGTACAAAAGATTCCTTGCAGAGCATACTGTATGTTATTATGTTGCTGTATTTGTCTGGCAACATCCTCTGAATCTTGTTATTTTCTCTGTCAAGGCAATATATTTGTTAAACTGTTTAGAAGTGTTCCTTTGCTTATAGTTGTTTTATGTTACCATTAATCAGAAAACAAAATCTACTACTATACAAACTCTTGAAACTGGTAAAATAAAATACATGTTAATGCTGCTGTTAAATTATAATTTAATGTTTTTACTAGGACTATACATTTTGTGCTACAAATGGTGTGCTTGAAATGTGTGCTATCTTAATCTCAAAGAGGCATCTGATAAGATTTGCAATTCAATTATTAAGATGGTTAATATGTCAACAGCAACATATAATTTTATTTATGTTTTTACCTATATACTGTAAAAGCAATTGCAGATCAATTTGCATATGAATCCATTTAAAGCTCATTTCCACCTTTGCAGAGGTATTTTCAAAAAACATATGCCAGCAATGTACACTAAGTGTACATGAAGCAGGCATATGCAGTTGCTGTATATGAATACAGAAACTTGCATTTTTTGTTAGCTTTCCTCTTCATATCATCATGGAAATGGCTGCCTCTGTGCTGTGCAAGCAATGTGTGCATATTACAAATTAGTTCCATGTGTGAGCTATCCACCCCCCCATACATTAGTATCCATAGTGGCCCTCCCCCAGACAGTGTATTGTGTGTAAAGGCAGAGCTGGTGTTTAGAGATCATGTTACTCAAAATCACAGGGAGGGGGTCAGCTGTTTACAGCCTTCTTTACAAATCCGATCCCAGAGTCAGACTGAATTTCCTTTGGAGAAATTTTCTAATTTCTAGGATTCAGGTCTAATGAAAAGTTCATAAAAAATGAAGAAAGTCTGCAATGTGAGTCATGAATATGTGTACACATCATCATTGCACCTCTACATTACCACAATAAATGCTAATCACTGACAAAGGTGGAAATGGACTTTAAAAGCTCTCTCAAAATGTGTTACAAGTGTTATGAGTTATTTACAAGAATGGGGAAAGACAGTACATATGCAATGCTTTATACAAGCCACATCAATTAAAACACATTTTTGGAAGACTAAATGCACTGACCCTGGAGAAGAGGTAATTAGGCACTTGATCACCTTATATAAATGTATACAGAACTCATATATAAAATGTTATGGAAAACTGAGTACTATATGGTCTGATACAAGATCAACCAAACAAAAAAAAAATCTAAAAAAATATTGATTAAGGGACCATTTCTGGAAATTCTAGGAATTCTGATGATCCTTCTTTTCCTAGAACAAACTTTGCAAAACAATAGTTGTTGTTGGAGGCTTTTCAACATATAACAATTAGCTATGTAAAAATAAGCATGCAAATCAATTGGTGCTTTTCAAAAGAGCAAATAGAGAGGAGTCATTACACTGGTTTCCAGTCAGTACTTTATCACATTTCAGTGAATTTCTTTTAATATATCACTGTTATTTTAACTGCATAATTTGGTCACTGAACAACCTAATGAAACTGTCAAACAACAGGAAAATACACCAAAAATAGGTAAAAAGAAAAAGCATGTACTTTTATTCAACTTAGTGAATGGGATGTTGTTTTTATACACCAAACCAATTTATAGTACTTTACTGTACTGTAATGTAAAATTTGTTTACATTCCAGCCCATAGATACAAAATCTTATTGAAAAGATTGTGAATCAGAATTTTATAAATGGGATGTCTTTATTAGTGGCCTGGAATGTAATCACTGACCATTGATTAAACTTTGAGAAGCTTAAGTGAGGACAATGTTGAATTGTTTTCGCTTAGCAGTACTAATGGATTTTGTTCATCAACAGCAATTGAAATGAGCCAGTGACACCGAAGGGGAGGGAGAAGACTTTGTGTAAATTTCGAAGTGATCTTGCAGAGTGATAAGGGATGATGATAGCATTGTCCTAAAGCGATGGTTCAATGGGAAGTAAAACTAAGAAGTCCAATATTGTGTATGTAAATAAATATATATAAACACTATATTGGCAAAAGTATTGGGATGCCTGCCTTTACACGCATATGAACTTTAATGGCATCCAAATCTTAGTCTGTAGGGTTCAATATGAGTTGACCCATCCTTTGCAGCTATAACAGCTTCAACTCTTCTGGGAAGGCTGTCCACAAAGTTTAGGAGTGTGTCTATGGTAATGTTTGACCATTCTTCCAGAAGCGCATTTGTGAAGTCATGTACTGATGTTGGACAAGAAGGCCTGGCTCGCAGTCTCCGCTCTAATTCATCCGAAAGGTGTTCTATCGGGTTGAGATCAGGACTCTGTGCAGGCCAGTCAAGTTCCTCCACCTCAAACTCGCTCATCCACGTCTTTATGGACCTTGCTTTGTGCACTGGTGCGCAGTCATGTTGGAACAGGAAGGGGCCATCCCCCAAACTGTTCCCACAAATTTGGGAGCATGAAATTGTCCAAAATGTCTTGGTATGCTGATGCCTTAAGAGTTCCCTTCACTGGAACTAAGGGCCAAGCCCAACCCCTGAAAAACAAACCCACACCACAATCCCCCCTCCACCAAACTTTACACTTGGCACAATGCAGTCAGGCAAGTACCGTTCTCCTGGCAACCGTCAAACCCAGACACATCCATCGGATTGCCAGACGGAGAAGCATGATTTGTCACTCCAGAGAACACGTCTCCATTTTTGTAGAGTCCAGTGGTGGCGTGATTTACATCACTGCATACGATGCTTTGCATTGCACTTGGTGATGTACGGCTTGGATGCAGCTGCTCGGCCATGGAAACCCATTCCATTAAGCTCTCTACGCACTGTTGTTGTGCCAATCTGAAGGCCACATGAAGTTTGGAGGTCTGTAGCTATTGACTCTGCAGACAGTTGGCGACTTCTGCGCACTGTGCACTTCAGCATGCGCTGACCCCGTTCTGTCATTTTACATGGCCTACCACTTCATGGCTGAGTTGCTGTTGTTCCCAGTTGCTTCCACTTTGTTATAATCCCACTAACAGTTGACCGTGGAATATTTCGTAGCAAGGAAATCTCACAGATGGACTTATTGCACAGGTGGTAACCTAGCAAGGTACTATGCTTGAAATCACTGAGCTCCCTAGAGCAACCCATTCTTTCAAAAATGTTTGTAGAAGCAGTCTGCATGCCTAGGTGCTTGATTTTATACACCTGTGGCCATGGAGGTGATTGGAACACCTGAATCCAATGACTTGGAGGGGTGTTCCAATATTTATATCGCTTAACCTGTGTAGTTTTTATTATATTTATTTATATTATTTATTTGGACAACGTTAGAAGACAGTTTTTGCTTAATATTCATAAATTTTAAGTCTTTACAAACATGCTTGCCCTGTAAGATCATGAGTATAGAATAGATGTTCATCACATCCCCAAGGGTGCTTTGGGGACTTAGATGCAGTGTTGTGCTCCCCTATCAATTTAGCCATGCATAATAATGTTGGTGGGACAATGGATGCTTCATCACAGTGGGCTGCCTGTGTACATGTCTAAGTGTGGAATTGACTTAGCCTGTCCCCTTTTTAATTGCTTGCTATTAGTAACAAAGCCTATCTAAAATATTTATTTTCATAACTGTTTTTAAGTCTCTCTTGTATTGTTGTTAATGCATTTAACTAGCCATTTTGATAAGAAACCAAAACACCTCATTGAGAACATTTGTGTGCTGATTTATATTAGGGCATGGACTTTACAGGAAGAGTAAAGCCCACATCAACATAGATAAAAGTAACGAAATTGGAACAATTGCTTCAATAAAGTGTTTTTAAAGCAATACACTGTATAAAAGTGAGATCTGCAGATACTAACCTGGGGACTGCTTTATGTGTTGTCTAATTAATTTTCTAAGTGCATGCTTTACCTCCCTGTTTCTTAAAGTATAAATAAAGGGATTCAGGAGTGGAGTTATAACAGTGTATGTAAGTGCAAGGAACTTATCATAGTGGCTACCTTTAGGTCTAACATATACAATAATGGCTGAACCATAGAAAAGACAGACTACAATGAGATGAGATGAACAGGTTGAAAAGGCTTTCCTTTTACCCTCCCTGCTTTTAATCTTAAGAATAGTAACTATAATGTTAATGTATAATGTGGCAATTGTAACAAATGGCAAAACAATTGAAATAACAGCAGCCACAACTGTAACAAGACTGCTGTTATAGGGATCAAAACATGCCAAATTCTGTAGAGGAGCCAGGTCACAGAAGAAGTGGTCAATCTCATATGGGCCACAGAATTCCATAACAACTGTACAAAATGTAGGGAAGGAAGCAATAAAGAAGCCAGCCAGCCACGGAAAAGCAGCTAGTTTAGAACAAAATGTATTGTTCATAATTGTTGAATACCTTAGTGGATTGTTAATAGCCAAATATCGATCAAATACCATTAACGCAAGGAGAAAGCATTCCGTTTCCCCCAAGGCATTGAAGGCATACAGTTGTACAAAGCATCCACTAAATTTAATGATCTTGTTACTATGAACTAGTATAACTAAGAGCTTTGGAACTGTTACTGAGATAAACATTATTTCTAAAACAGCAAATATGCTAATAAAAAAGTACATTGGATTATGAAGAGAAGCCTCTGTTCTAACTAAAATAATAATAGTTAGGTTTCCAAAGACACATGTAATATATGATAGAAAAATAAAACAGAAAAGAACAGTTTGAAAGTTGTGAAAGTTGGAAAACCCCAGTAGAAGAAATTCATTCACCACAGTCTTATTCGAATCTAGCATATTTATTAAAATAGGACCTATGGCAGAAAACAAAAGAAACATTTAGTTGGTGGTCTTCAGAATGATGATTAAGTTATGAAGGCAAATTTGAATTTTGATTTGTTTGCATATTGGCAGAAGGAATAAACATCAGTTTGGTCCCCCCCCCCTCTTTTTGCCACAGATTCTCTTATCTCTCCTCCACCTCTACATGCTTTAGCAAGGTATAATACTTTTGCTGTATTTTAGATACTTTACATAGTTACTGATATTATCTATTTCAGACAGAAATAGCTATTACCACTGAATACTTAGTTCACTATACTGATATATTTCTACAATGTGTTAAGAAATTATATCTGCTTGGATTGTATGGCTGTACAGTGCTGTTTGATAATCACATATCTCTTGGTCATTGTTTGTTTTACGAAATCTAATAAAAAATTTACATGAAAAAAAAAAATCAGTTTGGTAGGGAATTGTATGTTTTTTTTTCTTCTTCAAAGGTTGTCCTTCCATAAGGACTCCAGCCTTATGTAGCACTTAGTAATGGATTACTTTTTTTATATGGAGTTGATTTTGGTTTTCAATAATTTTTCTATTCAAAAGCTGATCAGCATTGCACAATGTAACCCAATACAATATGATTCCATATAGCAGTGTCAGGATTTAGCTATTACTTGTATAATCCATGAAAATACACATATGGTGATTATGTAGTACAAATTCTCATTCACTTGATATTAGCTAATGCCTAAATATAAGATATATTTAAATGTATGTTCTTCCTGATTTAGCAACATAAGCAATGAGGGATGAGATTTGGGTTTACTGCTACCATGGGTTTGAGGCAAATCCTATGCATGTACAAGGTTTGTGGTCCCAATGAATTTATGGTGAATTTCACCAGGGTGATTTATTTGTAACCATGATCCACTACATGCCCTGGCCCAAAGGCCAGTTGGATTAGAAGGACCAATAATAAGAGTCTATTTATGTGCCAGTCCCCTCACTATAAAAGGGTGAGTTCCCAGCAGCCATTGATCAATGTGTGTTGTGGGAGAGCTGATAGTCTGTGTAAGGAGAGTTAGTTGCTATGCAGTGCTATATTGTGTTAAATTACTGTGATTGCACTCTGGTCAGCTAAAAATTTTTTGTTTACCCCATGTTCACAGTTCAGAGACCCAAAAGTCCTTTTCAGAACTTCCTGTGTGCATTGGCAACAACTGTATTTGTTGCTAAGCTTCTGCACCCCCACCTTGCATAGATGGGAGGGAGTTCGGTGAAAATGGGGATGTGGGTTTTAAGTGCTATGGTGCACTTTGTTTTGACATTTTATGACACTTTTAAGACAATACAATGTGGTACTGCAAGAAAAGAAGATTACAAATTATACTATTAAACTGTTTTCACACTGGAAAATTTGCATTGAGGGCTTTTGTTTTATTTTTAGTACTGCTTTATAAAAATCATGTGTTGTAACCTAGGATACTTAAAAAAAAACCAAGCTATATATAAAAGTTAGAAAACTGTTCTGTAATACCACATAAAACTTAAAGGCATTTCCCAAACATGTATCTAAAGGGCTGGTGCTTTTAAAAAGGTTAACAAATACCTCACTTATGAACTTATCTAAACTATTTTACAAATTCTATAAATCTACAGGTATAAAAAAAAATCAAGTAAAAACAAAGTTGAAATTCTATGTGGTGCTTTCAATATAATACAGATGTTCCTCGCTTACCGACTTACCTGTTTTGCGACCACTCGCACTTACGACGGACCGCCGATCGACCTCCGACCTTGCACGTCAACGTCAGTGCGCCGCGTCGCCGGCGGAAGTGGTGTCCTCCGATCTTCACTGCGGGTCCCGGTAAGTATTTTCATTGCCCGATGCACAGTACACTGTTCGGTACTGTACATCGGCAACGCTATACAGTACTGTACTAATGCAGTACAGTACTGTATAGAGTTCCTCACTTAACGACCAATCCGTTTAACGACCTGGTCGTAGGAACGGAACTTGGTCGTTAAGTGAGGAATACCTGTACAATCTTTCTTTGTATGTGACAAAATGTAAATATATCTAATTAAGCTCTTATTATGGTATGTAATATTTTAAAGAATATAATTTTTGAAGTGTGACTTTCCTACAATTCACTATATTTTCAAATGGATCTTAAATCAGGTAATATGACAAATAGAATACCAGTTTTCTAAAAACAATATAAAATGGTTCATGAAGCTATACATATCGATATCATCTGGTTTAAGCGTTTTAAAATATTACACATACATTTTTAATAAATGTATTTATTGCACACATATGAAGCATTGAATTAAAATACAAAAGATGTAATTTTTTGAAGCAAGGTAAATTAAAAATAATCACTTACTGGATTCTGTTAGAAAGAATAATCTATATATATTTTGTTGAAATAAAACAGCTAAGCATAAAAGCACATTTTATTAAATTCACTGCAATATTTTCATTTGTAGAATTCAACAGTGTGTTAAGCCAGTTTTTATAACACTCTCAAAAATGGGCTAGTACATATGGGAATAATTTCTTTTTGTTAATTAAACTTCTATTCCATATATAATTATGTTTATTGAACTAAAGGGACTTCATTATGCCTATTATTGCAATAGGTTTACTTATAACCATATTACAAAAGAAAAACAACAATGAAAGCATAATCAATAGAGTTATCAATTCCTTTTAAAAACCTTCATTATGCATATGTTATTATCATATCTTTAAAAAGAGCCACTCTTTTATTAATTACATAGCAAGTATTAAAACTTTAATCCATTTTCGGTCATTCTTGGAGTTAATATACATGATGTATTCACTGTTTTTACAATGTATTAAGACGTCTTGATGGTTGTAGACCAGCCGTTCAAGAAGTTGGGAGGTAAATGGGAGCAGGCAGATGGGTCTCCGGTTGTTTAGACTGTTGGGCCCCAAATATGTTTTTTTTAATATGGGAGTTACCAGTGCTTGTTTTAGAGGGGTAGGGATGACACCATTAGAAAGGGAGATATTGAAGATGTGAGTAAGGGAGTGTAGGATAGAGCTAGAGGGTGACCAGAGTAGTTGTGATGGGATGGGATCCAGGGGGCAGGTGGTTAGGCGAGTGTTAGTCAAATGAGTAGCGACTTCGTCGGTGGTAACTGGATCAAAAGAAGAGAGTAGTGAGTGTGGTGGAAAACAAGGTATGTTTGGAGTGGGGGAGGTCTGGGCAGTGGAGATTTCATTGCGAATTGCATCAATCTTGTCTCTGAAGTGAGTGGCAATTTCCAGGGCAGTCAGTGAGTTGGTTGGAGGAGGTGGTGGGGGACGAAGTAGGGAGTTGAAAGTCGAAAAGAGTTGACGAGGACTAGATGAGAGGGAGTTAATGAGTGTGATGAAGTAGGTCTATTTGGCTGTGTGGAGGCAGGCAATATAATTTTGGAGGGCAGATTTATATTGGGGGAAATCTCAAGTCACTTGAGAAATCTCGCTCAAGTGCACGAATATATCTTCTGAGTCTTCTAGTGTCATCTGTCAGCCAAGGCTGTAGAGGTTGGAGCCTGAATCTATGAGAGGTGATAAGTGAAAGGGGCAAGTGTGTCCATACAGGATAAGAGTGAGTTATTGTAGAAAGAAGTGGCAAGGTCAGGGCAGGAAAGGGTTTTGATTTTGTCTGTAGCAGAGTAAAGGAGAGGGGTAAAGGGGCGAAGGTTCCTATGGGTGGCGGTTTTCTGGTTGGAATGTTGGGTAGCAGATGAGAGGGAGAGTGTGAATCTGACAAGGTTGTGATCAGAGAGTGGAAAAGGGGTGTTGGCGAGATTGCAGGGAGTGCAGAGATATGAGAATATGAGATCAAGGGGTTGATTTACTAACCTTATAAACACACCACTAACATGTATACACCTCTGTAGTGTGTTCCCTCCCAGCATGATCTATGGGTGGAATCTAAACACCTTTGTAGTGTGTACACACCCAGCAGGTGTGTTGTGCAAAGCCTTGCATGAATTTCAAGGTGATGTTGTGTAAATTAGCTCTACATTGTGTTGCTTGCGTTGATGAATGCAGGAATGTAAATGCATGAGCTAACCATTTTTGTCTAAACTGTGAAGCAGCATTATATATGCATCATGTGCATGATTTTTCCATATATGGCATTAGTGGAAATATGCTTTTAGAGACTTTTTGGTTGATAAATACGTTTTGCTGTGTGAAAATCACACGCACCTGGTGCGTGCGTGTGTTTAGGTTAGTAAATCAAGGAAAAAAAGAAAAGGCTAGTTGCACTCCTTACCGGTATGACCCCGTGATCGGGGAGGGGTGCTCGGAATGACTGCGGATGGCGCCGCCAAATACAGATAATTGCAGAAACGTCACCAGCACACCAAATCCTTATAGGATCAAAGTTCGTAGATTTTATTGCAAACTCATGTCAGTTACACAAGCGCTTTCGGGGCCACACAGGGTCCCTTCATCAGGCATAGCAATGACGAGCTCATTGCTATGCCTGATGAAGGGACCCTGTGTGGCCCCGAAAGCGCTTGTGTAACTGACATGAGTTTGCAATAAAATCTACGAACTTTGATCCTATAAGGATTTGGTGTGCTGGTGACGTTTCTGCAATTAGGTTAGTAAATCACCCCCCAAGTGTGTTGCCATCAGAGTGAGTTAGTCCATTGTGTTAGGCCAAAGGATGAAGTTAGGTTGAGTAGCTCAGAGGTTGTGGTGTTACTGATATTGACAGGTCACAGAACATCGTGGGTCAGCTAAGGACCCACCAGCTTTGGCCAAGAGATACCAAGATGAGTGCTGAAATAGTGACATCACATCTTGCAATTGGGGTTTAGTAATTTCGTACAACAGGAATGGAGTCCAGGTCTTAAAAAATCTACCTGTGAAATGTTGATTGTGTTAAGGGGCGAGTTTGTGAATAAGCATAAGGTGGTGTAGAGTAGTCCGAACATCTGCTAAGTTAGGTGGGGTAGTAAGAAGCCATGCTCTAAGTATA